ATTCCTAATTTTTTTTGCCCTGTGTGTTATGGTTAATGTGCAATTTGATGACAATCTAAATTCTTTTCAAGTCAAGGAACCTGATTTACCTCAAGGCTTTGAGATTGTTAAACAAGAAGAACTTGAGTTGCCATTTTTGTATCATGCACACAAATTTGAAAAAAAGTTATATATCATTCTTAAGGAAAACCCTCTTGGTTGGCTATAGCGGATTTCTGTTGAAAATGTCATATTCAACATCAAAACGTGTTAACTAGACCATGTAGAACTGTTTCATATGGTAGGTTGTTATTAGTTACAAATTATGGCTGTAGGTTAATATTTTTTGTGTGGGTTCATAATATATTCTGACAACATTAGGTTAAATGTGATTTTGTACTAGTACATTTCACTTGAATTTTTCTTGTGAAACAATTTTTTGGGGTCTTGTGTTCAAGTTTTGTAATAATGTCTTCCACAGATTACAGGTTAATGTTTTGAAGTGTTAGTTCAGTAAAAAGCTTATTATGAAAAATTGCAACTGCATGCTCATGCTAATCACTTTACTAAGGTTGCAGTTGAATAAAATAAAATTGATATTCATTTATTTCTTCAGGTTTTGTTTTGAGTGAAAAATGCAAATAATTTCATCAAGATTTTCTGTGCTAAAATAAAAAGCTTTGCCTCTTAAAACTAGCATTAAAATAAGAAGATTAACCTTAAAATTTCACCTATTTCTGTGACTGCCTTAAAACGATATACCAAGTCTTGAAACAATGATTAGCTTGTCAAAACCATACTTGAATCACAGTTTGCAGTTTTCAAGTAAGACTTCTGGCTCTTAATTTAATTTCCTTGGTACTGATTTCAATTTTAATCAACTCTTAGAGTGCCATGTAGGGTAATTCAGGACAGTATTTGATTCTGGATTCCGCACTGTGGATTCTGGATTCAAGGTGCTGGATTCCAAAACACAGAAGATTCCAGATTGCTGGTTTGCTCATAATTTTCACATTTCGTCTTCTAGGAATGACTTTTATGGGAGATTACACTATTGAAAGACATGTTTGCAAACCCATGTTTGTCTATTTATATTTCCATAACAACATTTGATAATTACAAGAAATATATTCTAGCAAATTAAGGGATTTAATTTTTCTTCTAGGAATACCCGTTGAGAATGTCCATTTCTTAAGTCCAATGTCCATTCATTTCACATTTTTTAGCAACGCTGAGAGCCAAAGTCATATTTCTTTCATTCAGGTTCCTCGAGATTCTTCACATGATTTAACGGTATCAAAAGAACTAATAGTTCAAACATTGCCTATCATTTTCAATTTGAAAATACCTGTTCGACCAAAAAGGTTGTTCTAGCACAGCATAAGACTTGGAAAAAGTGGCCAATTTTTGTAATCCAAAATTGACACGGAACTGCAAAGAAAGAAACTTAAAAATGTTTCCCTATCATCTCAAATTACTTTTTAAACTTTCTTTTTAAAATAAAACCATAGTATTGAAAGAAAGTTTAAACTGATTATAATCTCAATGACACCTTATGTATTCTTATGTCGAACTCGTGTACAAGTCGAACTCGTGTGTCAGTCAACCCCCATTTTCAATGTCAAAAATCTGATTTTTTATCATTTCTAGTCAAAGAAGTAAAATTCAGACCAAGAGAAGTTCCCAAAAAATTAATACATTTCTGAGAATGTATTGAAAACATGGGGAATTTAAAAAAATGCAGAGCAAAATGTAACCGTGTGCCTTGAAGTTTATCAGCACATGTTCATATCACTATGATTAAAGCATACACGGGCACTTCAATTTACTGGAGAAGTATTTTGCTATAATTTGTAAATCGCATTGGAAATGAAATCTTCTTGCATCTTACTAACCTTTATCTTAATTTTGAGTTTGAAAGGATAATAAGTAGACTGAAGGAACATCAAAGAGTTCCGAAGGATTGTGCATAACAAGCAAGAACGTGCGAGACAAGGGCATTTGCCAGGTCACTAAGCTACTGAAATCATATGATGAAAATGAAAATTCAGCATTGTAAACAGCAGGGAAGCTGTAAGAAAAATGTCTACTCTACAGTCCAAAGACAATAGAAATCAGCTCTAGTAGCTTTGCATTAAGCTACTCAAAACCTAGTATTTCAAACAGTTTTGTTGATGAAGAATGCGTTGTGACGAAACTCGAACACAATTAGGACTGGTTTTATCAACACGGTTTTCCTAACGGACTTCAGGCAATTGCTATGCTAATTACTTAGATTGCTAGGGTGGGATCTTTATGTGACTCGTACTAGTCAAGGGTGATTTTTTGGGCTGATTTTTTGATCATGAAAGGTCGACTTATACATGAGTAAATACGATATACTTAAATCTGGTGAAAGATCTGCATTTACACTGTAATTTTTCAAGAATATCAGATTTTGTTTTCTGTATACCCTTTTCTCTTCAAAAGGTTAGCCAAATCAAGTCGAATTTCGTTGGCTACGGAGTTTTAAAGGTTTAAGGTGGTCTGCTGCTATTTTGTTTTCCATAAATGTTGTTTGACCCTTAACAATATACATAGAAAAATTACTCGGTTCTAATTGATTAAGATAAATGCAGTTTTCAGGTAATTCAGTGCAGGAGAGAGTTAATTCAGTGCCGAAGAGGGTTAATTCAGTGCAAAGAAAGAAACAAATCAGGCATTCCGATTGGTCAATAATCAAAGAAACTGACAGATACCCAATCAAATGCGAGCCTTGGATGTCGCAACAAAATTTGAAAATTTGAAAATTTGCGAGCGAAACAATGGCCGGCGTTTTAAGTAGGCTTTCTTTCGCCACCGCAATTGAAAAACAGCTTAAACAACGAAAACACTGTAAAAAACACTGCTTTTGGTTGTCGGTTTGGAAAAGTGGTGTTTAGAGAAGGAAATTGCCAAGGAAAGCGAAAATTACGAGTCGACCCAGCTTAGCACTTTGCTCGAGCGATCCAACGCCGAAATTAAAAACAAACCTGGTTCGACCTCGGAAACGACGATTCCATTTCATCGAAAGTGATTCGGACACAGACTAAACAGTTCCTTAAACTGTTTAGCCGGACTTTGAACTCTTTTGCGCCTTAAAGATGTGAAGATATTATTGCATATTATTGTTTTGATCGTACGCGGTTGTTTTTACCGAACGCACGGTTTAAATAAATTATTTTTGCACTTGATGTGCACGCTTTGCTTATGCTTCATTTTGATAAGCCATCTCGTATTTTTCCATGTATATTATTAACACGTAATCACATGATTTTTCACGTGCAATTTGGAATAAACAAGCACTTGTTAATTTTTTCAAAGACCACAAATTGCACTCACCCTACGGGCTCGTGCAATTTTGGTAGTCTTTCAAAAAATTTTCTAGTGCTTATTTATTCCAAATTGCACTCGAAATCATGTGATTACCTATACAAAATCTGGTAACATCTTATTTTATTTGCACTGAGATATAATGCCTTATGAAATCTTAAAATTTGTTATTCGGAATGCCAAATATCAAAGAGAGCAGTTTACATTTAAATGCCAAAACTCGACCTAGAAGTAGACCTCTCCTGGCTGCCATTTATAGCCATACATATCTTTGTTCAAAGTCGATCGTGATTGAAAACGTGGTACATTGCTATTTGGTGTTTAACCAAATCCTGTAGGATTTGAACACTTTTGCTATGTAAACACTATGCCCCTCTAAATTCCCATACCCATTGACCATGTGCATGTACTGCACTCTACAGCGGTCATGACAAAAAACAGACCGCAGATCATGCACACTGCAATAGCTGTTTCCTTTTTTTGCACTGTAATTTACATATTCAGGTGTATACACCTTTTTCTTACTCCTTTGGTAATGTTGGAACTGTTTCCAATTTCGGACACCACATGAGGAAATTTTATGAGGTCTTTTCCAACTCGCACTACCTAGCAAAACAATATCGAATGCCCAAGTTTCTTGAACACATGGAAATTGGCCCCATGCAGCGAGATGTATTGCAGATATAATTGGTGTGGACAGTGATGCTGATATAGAGAAAAGGAATGGGCGGTGGGGATGAAGCAAATGATTACCTGGATCTTAACAAGACAGCCCAAAGAACTTTACAGTAAAACAATGCTGCAAGCTAAAATCAAACTTTACTAGGTAATAAGGTTTTTGAATCTGAGTAGAAGACTGATTGATAGTTAGTAGGGAACTTTGACCATGTCAGCATTAACGTCGATTGGGTGATAGACCATGGATGAATTTATCAGTGTCTCATCAGCTGTAACAGTTGAAATTCTCCAGCACACAAAGTGCGGCCTGTAGTCTGCAGTCTCGTAGTCAGTGGTTGATGGTTATTCAGTCGAAGTAAGGATTTGTTTGTTAAGTAAGTCTTTGCTAACAACAAAGAAATAACTATACAAGCATTGCTGCCTTGATGAATCCCTATTTTTAGATAGAAAGACTGGCAGATCCCAGAATATTACTGATGGAACATGTATTAAAGTGAATTGTGGTGTTATACTTGAGTTAGAAAACTGTTGTTGAGCTACTGATGGTGTCTCAGGGTATGAAATTACTCCTAATACAGGTACCAGTGTGACTAAATTTTTCACTTTGGTGATCAAATCCTGAAAGTTAGTCACCAAATTGGGAACTGGAATGCTTCATCATAACCTTACCCAGAGATATATTGAATTAAAAAGATTTCCAAAGACAAATCCGTGGCAAACCTCCTCGTTAAGTTCGTTTCCAAGTGAGGAAAGTATTGGTGTGGAAAGTGATCGAAATGATCTATGCAATGATTCGAATACTCACGACAGCACTTATTCAGAAAGACATATTCTGGCGTTTGCTTGTATATTGGATGTCAAATATGCTGAACAAAATGAGTTCATCCATTGTCTTCAATTCAACGTTCTCGTGGGTCTCCCAGAAGACAAAATAGCAATGTCATTGATTCCCGACATGCAATCTCAAGACTGGACATAAATGGAAGCTGTAAGAGACAGAAAATAAACGTTATATGGTGTGGTCTTCGGTGACCGCACGCAAAATATCGCGGGCGCTCTTTCCCACGAAAAGCACATGTTTTGTTATGGAGTTATACTGTCGTTTCGTTAGGACAAGTTTTCCTTTCTATTTAGAAGGCACAATAACTTGTGAGTATGCAGTATTTCGGTTATTCGGTCAATATCATCTTTGTAATAGTCGCGTTGTTGTTATTTCAGCGAATCTTTCTCTTTCACGTGCAATTTGTGAATGGAATGAATACAAGTTATGTGCAGATTAGAAACGAACTAGCAAGTGAACAACTGATTAAAGTACAGTTTCAAGTAGCTATGAGTGGACGCTACATCATTCGAAGTTATTGATTTCAAGCAGTACTGTGGTTAAAGGAACGGAATGACTGGCAAGAATTCGAAGAGCAAGAAATCAAAAAGTAGTGCTAAGAAAGGTGGACACCAGCAAGCAGCGACTCACGTGACTCAACAGAAGGAAAATGTTCCCGATTCGGCGTCAACAGAGAAATCTCCTCAGCACACGTTCCAAGGTGATGAGAATGGTGGATTAGAGCAAGTAGGGCCATCATTAAC